CTAAGGACAGATTTCACCATGGAACTGATTGCCAGTCTCATCATGGGGAATAACTACCATCAGCTGCCCAGCCACTCAAAACCAGGCCCAGGGAAATAGACATATAACCTTAACACACACACACACACACACACGGCACTCTGGTGGCATAGTGGCTAAGGCATATGACTACTAACCAGAAGTCTGTTAGTTCAAACGCACCAGCCACTCCAGGAAGGGAGACTGGGCACTCTACTTCTGTAAAGATTTACTGCCTTGGAAACCCAAAGAGGGTTGCTATGAGTTGGAATTGACTCAATGGCAGTAAGTTTGGCTTCTGGACCACACAAACAATGGAATAGTATGCAACACTAAATAATGAAGAATCTGGAAAATGCTTCATAACGTAGAGGACATTGTATTGAGTGAAATAAGTCAATCATAGGACAAATATTATATGAGTCCACTATTGTAAAAAGCCAAGGAAAGGTTTATACATGGAAGGAAACTTTCTTTCTTGGTTACTAGGGATGGGAGGGGAGGGGAGGGAAGGGGAGGGGAGGAAGAGTTCCTAGATAGATAAGAGACAAGTATTGACTTGGGTGAAGGGAAAGGCAATATACCAAAAGCGAGTGACTAGCACAATAATACTAAGGGAAAGGAGGACACGGACCGGTGTACAAGAGGTAAAGAAAACAAAGGTAAATACTTTTACATACACAATACTGCATTATCCGTAACAAAAAAGATTAATCTATGGGTGGATACATAAGTAGACAGGCAAAATGATCAGGTATGGGAAGGCAAAAGGGAATATACTCAAGACCATATATAAGTTTGGCAGATGATACTTCTACATATGTATTTATATGTCCTATAAGAATATCCATGTATATAATAGACCTAACAGGGGGCAGTTATGATAACTTCTTAGTTACAACCAAACACCTTGAGGGAGTGAGTTGCTGGGCCCAGGGCCTTGGGACCACAGTTGTGGGGGACATCAAGCTCAACAGGCATAACATATTACACAAAGACATTGTTCTACATCCTACTTTGGTAAATAGCGATTGCCAATGGCCATCTAAGATCCAACAATTGGCCTCTCCTCATCTGGAGCAAAGAATAATAAAGAAAATCAAAGATTCATGGAAATAATCAGCCTACAAGACCCTGAGACCAGAAGAAACAGATGGTGCCCAGCTATCACTGCCAACCTCTCAGAAAGGGATAAAAATAAAAGATCCTGGATAGAGTGGGAGAAAAATGTGCAACAAAACTCAAAATCATAAAAAAGTCTAGACTTATTGGTCTGACAGAGACTGGTGAAAGCCCCTGAGACTATTGCCCCTACTCACCCTTTGGGCCTGGAATTAAACTCATTCCTGTGGCTTCCAGCCAAACAACAGACAGGCCTACCAAGATGAACAATTACACCAGGTAGGTACATTCCTTAGAATAAGTAACCATGGGAGATCAGAAGGGCAGCATTTATATGGAGAGAGAACTCAGAGGGAAGGAATGCATAGGAAGGAAGGACACAGGGAAAAGGTTACCACAGGGAGGAAGTGGGAAGAGAGTTACATCAGGGGGATAGCAATCAACGTCATTAAACAAAATGTATATGAACTGTTGAATGGAAAATGAATTTGCTCTATAAACTTTCACCCAAATTACAATTAAAAAACAAAAAATCAATGATTTTTAAGAGCCTAAGAGTATTTGTTTTTACCACCTGGTCCTTAATTACTTTTCAAAACCTCATCTCCCTTCATGTTGTATTCTAACCCAGTGACTTTCAACATTTTTTATGTATCAGAATCATCATATTAAAAAAGTAGGTGCTGGATATCACCCCAGAATCACTACATGTAAGACCAACCAAAAAATACATACTTTGGAAAAGTACCTTGGGTAACTCTCCTGCTCAGTCAGGATATAATCACTGCTCTAGCCCTACCTATCTATTTCAACTACCTCAAACATGGCATGCTCTAACACAGGGGTCAGCAAACCATAGCCCATGGGCCAAATCCACTTCAGTGAGTGTTTTTATAAACATTATTTGAACACAGCTCTGCCTGTTTGTTTACACACTTTCTGTGGAGGCTTTCATGCTATAATGACAACGTTGAGTGGCCTCGACAGAGACCCCATGGCCTGCTAAGCCTATTTATATTCTGGCTCTTTGTAGAAAAAGTTTGCTGATCCCTGCTCTATCTTTGTACTAGGCTTTTACATCCTTCCTCAAAATACTACTGCTGTCCTGACAAATACATGTTCATCCTTTAAAACTCCCATTAGGATCATTTCTACAAAACACCCTCTGTATATTTTTTCATCATTTCCTGTACATTCTCTATTACAATGATCATCATACTTTATTCCTAGATGTCTGTTTAATTACTACCTTCTCCTGACTAGAGCATAAGCTCTGTGAGGGCAACACTTGTCTTGTCCTCCATGGTGCCTAGTTCATTGTTCACATATATTAAACATTTATTTTATGAATCTCTCTCCCACTCCTTATAGTATTATTATTTTTTTCATTTTGTTATATTTCTCAATGTTCTAGCTTGCTAAGGGGATTCTGAATCCTCATTTTATCAAGGTATTTGTAATCCCACCTCGTTGTTCCATCCATCCATTTTAATATATATACTGTTTGAGCTCTTCTCCTAAGTCACTGACAAAGTTGAATACAAGGCCAAGGATAAATTCCTGAGGAGGCCCCTCCCTCTAATATTGATATCAATCCATTAAATCAGCAGTCTTTGTCTAAGAAACTAATTATAATATTATCTCACCTACATTTTACATCCTGTCTACAAGGGTTTTATGAGTGCTTTCATTTCTATGAAGGCTTTATTTCATTTCTATGAAGCCTTTTCTTGTCTGGTACCACCTACCCCCCAGGCCCTAACTAATCACTTCCTTATTTTTCTCAAAACTGTACCTTCTGTCCCTTCACCACATCCTACTACAGTACTTTTATTTTTTTAAAAAAGTCTGTCTATGCTACCAGTTCAAACTCTTGGATGGCAGACAGTTCACTTAACTTTGAATCTCCTAGAGCCTTGCACAGTGACCAAAATTTACTTGGAACTCAAAATTTTTTTCTGAATACAGGTCTTGCAATTCAGACACATTAAATCTATGTTAGTTCCTATTTCTGCCATAACAGTACTGCTATAAAAGTCTAAAAATATTTTATATATCCTTACCTGTAGCAGAAAGCAAACAGCATAACTAAATAGAGCAGGGTGATGGGCTAAATTTAAACTGTTTTTATAATCAGCTATTCCAGCATCTTCTAGAATTTCTGGGTTGATATCTATTATTTCATCATAGAAACTTTTTTGGAAGGGTTTGGATGTCCACAGGCAACCAACCATGGCTGTCAAATAGTGGTTAAATTCTTGATAGGTCTCGTTGCTGAAATTGAACTGGGATTTTGCCTGTTGGGAAAGAAAACAAAGTTATCACTATCACCTACTCTCCCTTTCCTCCTTATCTCCAACAGGGCATACACAGCTATACTCAATTTTGACACAGTGGTGATTTAACACAGAGGTTTACAATCCATACCTTCTGTATCAACTCATTTTTCTTTGCAGCAGTCAAATTTTTACGATACCTAATAGGAACAAAAAAATGAAATTTAAAGTTAAATGCCTTTAAAATGTAACAACAAATAAAAGTGTACATTTTAAGAAATGACCAGAATTACTGGTCAGATAGAGAGTAGTGGAACCTCAGAGACCATGGCCCCAGGTTATCTTTCAGGCCTGGAATTGGACTCACTTCCATGGATTAGCTCTCAGCCAAACAACAGAAAGACTTACAAGCAGAAGAGCTAACCCAGGGAAGGCACCCCCTAGATCAACCAAACGTGAGCTATCAGGAGGACAGCATTTGCACAGATGGAAAGCTGGACAGACAGGAATGCAATAGGCAACAAGGGCACAGGGAAGGGATAGTCACAGGGAAGAGATGGGAAGAGAAATTTTTATGGTTGGGGATTATAATCAAGACCATGAAACCAAATGTGCATGAACTGTTGAGAGTAAAATGAATCTGTGTTGTAAATCTGCACCGAAATCACAGTATTCTTTAAAAAAAGTGTACATTTTAAATGTAAATATATGCAAATGTGTACAGACACAAATATCTATCTAGCAAAGGTTTTTTATCCTTTTGTGGTATATTCTTCTCAAAGAACAAAAATAGAGACCCAAATCTGAACTGTATATTTAAGATATACATTTGATTGTATGTAAATTATACTTCAATAAAAAGGAAAAAGCAACGAAGGAAATTCTTTTAATGTTTCCTTACTAAAAGTTTTTTTAAAAAAGTAGTCAGTTGCTGACACAGAACATCATTTCTTTATGTGAGAAAAAGGTATACCGGAAAAAAAAAAAAAAACAACCAAACTCAATGCCGTCGAGTCAGATCCGACTCATAGTGACCCCTCCTCAGGTTTCCGAGGCAGAATCACTACGGAAGCAGATTATTTTGGTATGTATTTTTTTGAAAACTGTAACCTAATTAGATTTTAAACATTTTAACTTTGAGATAGTCCTACATATTATACCACAGTGGTCTATACTTGTAGACTGAAAAGAGCAATTTCAGTCAACAAGTGAAAGAATTAGTAGGATTAGAATTAATATTTAGTTTCATATAATGGGCAATCCCCTTGTCCCCCAGAAAAGGTTCTGTCTTTTTATCAGAGAAGCTATAGACCTACATCAGTTGTCAGAAAATGACTAATTTTTCTACAAGATACAACTATTCCAATTAACAACAGTGAGTGAATTTTTTATTCTCTATTTCCTACAATGACATTTAAAAAATGATACAACTATCATAGTCCCACATGGGAAGATCATTCCCAAAATGGGTCTTGGCAGAAAACGAATAGGAATTTTTATTGTATTACAGTTGGAAAAAATGAAGATAGCATTATCATGTACTGACTCATAAAATGGTCAAAAGGCTTTATACCTGTGCATAATGTAACAGAGCTGGTTCAGAATACTGGTATCCTGGCTGAAGAGTGCAGAGTAGAAGATTCCAGGAGGAAATACCACCACTAATGGAAGGTTATAATCTACATATATGTCACATACCTTTAGGGAAGAATGGTAACATTAGCACTTAGATTATTCTCCAGAATTCCTCAACCAAGTTTACCTAAGAGTCATCAGTGTACCCACGAAACCAAACCCACTGCCACTGAGTTGATTCTGACTCATAGCAACCTTAAAGGATGGAACAGAACTGCCCCTCCAAGGCTGTTAATCTTTACAGACACATATTGCCTCATCTTTCTCCCACAGAGCAGTTGGTGGGTTTGAACTGCCGACATTTTTGTTAGCAGCTGAGTGCATTAACCACTGTGCAACCAGAGCTCCTTAAAATCAGTGTAAGATAACCAATACTAAACCGTTAGAGCCTACCCAATTCTTAAATAGAATAAATAGTCATAAACCTGTTTCAAAACCTGTACCACCAAACACACACACATATACACCCCTTACCAAACAACCACCTTTACCACAGAGCATTATTTCTAAGAGATCATTAATTTTCTGCTGGGGAGAAGGCTTAGTTAGAGTTAGGACTACAGGGTAGAAAAAAGAAGCATTTCTTTCTCCTTAAGTCTCATAACTCACTAAACTCACTGTCATGAGTCATTTCTGACTCATAGTGCCCACCATTGGGTTTCTGAGGCTGTAAATCTTTATGCAAGTAGATCACCTAGTCTTCCTTCCACGGAGCAGCTGGTGGGTTTGAACTGCTGACCCTCCAGTTAGCAGTCAAGTGCCTTATCCACTATGCCACCAGAGCTTATAAACATGTATTTATCATATTAGTCAAACTAGAAAACAGACATGCATGATTCTAAGCATCTATGACACAAGACAAATAGGTATTAGTGAAGGGAGGAAGCCAGGAAAATAGAGATTAGTGGGTACTTCCTGTAAAACAGATCCATCCAGGCAGAATATTATAAGACAACTGACGAGGACCAGAATCAAAAAGGTATTAGGTACTGGGAAAAGTAAGGCAGTAAAGGTGGGAATGGAAATCTAAGAAACAAGACAGTATTTTTGGTTTTTACCAGGGGTTTGGGACATACAGTGGATGAACAAAAAGTGACACCACAAACAGACTTCTGTCTAGGGCCAGTATTATTACATTATAGATGAATTATTAAAGTGGTACATGGACAAAAAAAATTTTTAAATTTTCGGTTATTCAGGTGAGAATATAATCATTATCTTAATGTGTACTTTATTTTAATTTATTGATAAAGTCATAGCCAAGTTAATGGTTATACACAAAATTTCAATAACAGGCCACTAAAAGGGACAGCCATCATAAAAATCTAAACAGGGAAAAATGGGATATGCAGTACCTTCTCATAGAAATCCAGAATAAAGTGCAGTAATACAGTATTGTTGCTCTCCAAACGAATTCCATTAGTGGACAGCCACCCAACAAAGTGAATCAGTTTAGACACGGAGTTCATGGATCCACCTAAAGCTGTCTCTCTGCAATAAGAAAACATGACATTCAGTTCAGTATTAGCAAAACTGTTCAAAATTTCCAAGCTAAAGTTGGATATTATATAGCAAAAGACTGATAGGTATTTGAGAAAATTCCTATCAGTGCTCCTGTGTATAATTCATTTTATTTTTTAAGGAACAGTTACTAAGCTCAAAATTACATTTAGCCCTCTAGGAAACCATTAAGATCAAGTCAAAGAAGACCCTCAGCAACCTGACTCTACTAGTAAATACCAGAGAAAGAAAGGATTAACCTCTACAGACTTTAGAAAATGTTACCAATGTCCAGGGACCATAAACACGCTAAACCCACTGCCATCGAGTTGATCCTGACTCACAGTGACCCTGTAGGACAGAGTAGAACTACCCCATAGGGTTTTCAAGGCTGTAATCTTTTACAGAAGCAGATTAACACATCTTTTTCCCACAGAGCAGCTGGTGGATTCAAACTGCTGACCTTTAGGTTAGCAACCAAGCCCTTACCCACTGTGCTATCAGGGTTCCTCCAGGGGCTATAACAGTCACCAAAGGAGCTCTGGTGATACAGTGCCTAAGGCATTTGACTGCTCACCAGAAGGTTGGTGGTTCAAACCCACCAGTTGATCCTCGGATAGAAGATAGGGGCAATCTACTTCCATGAACATTTACCACCTTGGAAACCCAATGGGGGTCACTGAGTTGGAATTGACTTGATGGCCGTGTTTATTTTTTCCCCAGTAATTGATAAGCACAAAACTTTAACACTCTTCAATTATGGAAATCTTTGAGTGACAGGCATAAAAATCACTAGAAAAATGAGTATTCCATTACAAAGGGGACAAAAATCATGACAAGGTGACATGAAAAACTCAGAATAAAATCTGAAAATAGACAAAAAAAAAAAAAAGAGAACTAATTAATCTCAACCAAACCACATACTACTGGTTTAAAAGGATAAACATCAAAATGAGTTTGAGAGTTGTTTCTTAAGGTGTTAATAACACTGCAGCACATTTACTGAAAACTTAAAGTACACAAATCAAAACTCAGTTTTCTCTGCATTCCTGAGCTAAATGCTCAAAAGAAAAGACAATGCTAAAATATTTTCATTCTAATTTGACTAGAATTCAATTCAATCTGAAACTGAATTAGTAAAAATTTTGACATGTTTTAATGTTTAATAAAAATTAAATCAGGATATTTTATATTCTTCCAAAATCAATAAACTGAGTTTCCTTAGACTAGATATGGATATAATGGATTCAATCCTTCCATTTACTTACTCTTATCCTTCTTCAATCCACTCGATAGCTAATGATGGTCATGCACAAGGAAAAATAAGTAATATATATTCTTCAAGTTTTGAAATGACTCTACCATTACCCATCACCATGATGGTTCAGCACCAGAGCAAGCAAGTAAGGATTAAGAGACCATTCAAACATGTGGGCATCTATATAATCAATGGCTATTTGCAAAACTGTATCTTAACCATGATTTTGGCAGCGCTTAGCAAATGTATCTGAAATAATTTGAAACAACAGTGACTGTTCAGAACAGCCTTTTTCAAGACTATCTCCACAGAACTTTATTAGCATTTTGGATGAAATAATCCACTGTTCAGGAGTGCCTCCTTGTCTCCACCCACTATAATACCTTTAGCATCCTTGGTTACTACCAACAAAATGATGGTAACATTCTCTTCCTAGTCACCATGACAACCAAAATGCCCCCTGGAAAACCACTGCTGGAGATATGGCATTATGACCATATCACCAAAACAGAAGGAATTATTGAAAACTTAAGAGTTATATTATATAATGTCAAGTATTAATATGAAAAGCAAAGTTATCTACATTTCTGTCATTTGTTTCAAGAATTTTAGAAAGCAGAGCTCCTTTTTAGAAGCTCCCTTCTAAATTTATAATACTAATAAAAGAAGGATCCTAAGATGTTTTGAAAGAAAATATAGAAATTGCAAGTGATCTATTTCAGGAGTGCCTAAGATAAATCACAAGTTGGTCAAAGATTGTGCATTTATAAACATACTATTTTTAATCAAATTTAGTTGGAAGAGGTTAAGCATTTAAATGGAAGTTCTTTATAAAAGACGTTCTCAAACTTTAGCTTGCATCAGATTACCTGAAGCTCTTGTTAAAACACAGATTACTGGGCCCCACTTCCAGAGTTTAATCCAATAGGGCCTGAGATTTTGCATTTCTAACAAGTTTCCAACTGGTGCTGCTGCTGCTGCTGCTGGCTCAAGGACAACACTTTGAGAACCACAGCTTTTTAAGGTGCATTCACTACCCACCAACTCTCCATTTCCTTCCAGAAGTGATCAGACATACATGGAAGCATGCAATAATGAATATGAAGAATTAAAAACAATTTTCCAGGCTACCCTCATAAAGCTTATATTATCCATTCTCCTACCAAAGCAGATCACCATAGGAATAAGAACATATGGAAAAATGGGTCTGGGCTAATTTTCTAACCAAGCTAACTACTATTTGCAAAGGAAGCTAAGGAATCCTTATGTTATAACTATAAAGTAAGATGTGGCTAATAATACATGGATTTTGAACACTGATTAGATATCTGAAGACATTAATAGTTAATTTAATTTAATAGTTAATTTAATTTAATAGTTAATTTAATTTTTTAGCTGTTATAATGTTACCATTTTTTATAATTGAAATGGTTAGGTTTTGCTTAATAATAAGCCAGCATGAAGGAGAAAAAGGGTGGGGCTGTTATACTTTTAAAAAAAGAGTTAAGCATGAGTTGATGATTGCTAAAGCTAGATGATGGGTACACGGGAGTTAACACTGTACTAAACTCTAAAAAAACCCAAATTTACTACTGTTGAGTCGGATCTGACTCATAGCGACCCCTCCTTGAGTTTCTGAGGTGGTATCACTATGGAAGTAGATTGCCCAATCTTCCTTCTGAGGAGTGACTGGTGGGTTTGAACTGCCAGGCTCCTGACTAGCAGTCAAATGCCTTAGGCACTACACCACCAGAGCTCCTACTCTGTACTACTCCCAATTTTTTACTATGTTTTAAATTTTCCAATATATAAAGTTAAAATCAATGTTAAACTATAAAGTGGTTGATAGTAGAATATAGAGATCAAAGGTTTTTAGGTAAAGAGTCAAAAAAATGATTATGCAGTTCCTTGAAATCCAGTTTTTTAGTTGGAGGGTAAAAACACACATTTAACAATGAACAACATGATAGAAATGTAAGGCTTTCTCTCGCTCTCTTTCTTTTAACCTCAAAAGGCAAGATAAATTAATGCATATAACCAAAATATATCAGAGGATCATAGAAAATAAAACTATACAGCAAAATTACCGTAGAGGCTTTCTAATCATCAGAAAAATTGGCTTTACATATAAGAATTCATTTCATAAAGTAAGTTAAGCTGAATGCTTGCACATTCTAATTCAGCTCTACAATGTTTTGCTATATTAACTCTTGCAAGTCACTTAGAGACCAAGAGCCTGCATTTTAACTTATATAAGAGAACTAGGAGAATAAATCTTCCTCACAGGATTGTGGGGAAGGAGAATAAGTAAAAAAAAATCTTTTAGAAAATTACTACTAAGCATTTACATGAAATAATTAGGTCTCATATCACACTATAAAATTCCATGTGGAAACATTTTGTACAGATCATTTCTTGTGTAAGGTTGTAAGGTAACTCACAGAGGACTGTTCAACACAGGTTTCATGTGGATGTCCATAGAAAGCCACAACAGCCAATTCTGCAGTAGCTCTTTCAGACACTGAAGAACACTACACTGAGGGGGCAAAACAAAAAATCATTCATAAAATCATTCAGATACAACATGCTGTTCAGAACTAAGACTTAATCAGAGGCTTAGAGGTAGAAGTGACCATGAAGATAACCATCTTAGAACTCAATAGCTGCTGCTCCAACATGATCAGTTTTGAGGAGATAATGAATGCAGGGATACGTTTATTTTGCCATTTTCTCTACAAGAAACACAACTCAACAGTACTGCCCTCAATTATCAACTTAGGAACAACCTTTTGTTTCTCTAGATTACAATCATTTATAACATATACTATATCACCAAATATAGGATTATCCCCTCCTTATCCTTTAAAGTTACTATAGATAGGAGTTTTCCACCGTTCTTTCCTTATTTACAAATAAAATATACTCCCTTTTTGATGTTCGTAAAACTTATCTTACCATCTGTGACTCCAGAAAATAAACAATTCTAGTCTTTCCTTTTTCAGGCCCTCTCTTGATTTCCCAGGAGCTCTGGTAGCATAGTGCCTAAGGCACTTGACTGCTAACCAGAAGGCTGGAGGATCAAACCCACCAGCCACTCCTCGGAAGGAAGGTTGGGCAATCTACTTCCGTAGTGATACATCCTTGGAAACTCAAGGAGGCTTATGAGTTGGGTCTGACTCGACGGCACATAACAACAACATCTTGATTTCCCAGGGCCTGATTCACATGAAAAAGATATAGTCAGGATGGAATTTGACCTGGGACATTTATGATAGGATATTATATTACATCTATACATTCATATCATCCCCAAACATAACATATGAAATTTTTCTCAAACATCCTTAAAAAATAATAGCCTGGATACTATTTGAGTATTTCCAGTGATAGGGTGGTCACTGCTACTTTATACCAGAACAGGTCAATTAATATTTGTTAGAAAGTGACAATTCACATTCAGATTATAAGTATGTCTGAGCTGAAAGCAACATTGGAGTCATCTAAAACAATCTTCTATTTTGGTATCAACCAGGGAATCTCATCATTTGAAAAGATATTCAATGTGACAATGTTATATTCAGAGAACAAAAGTCCTTAATTCCTCATCTAACTTCTCTATCCCACCCAGCCCCTACATTAAAGGAAGACATGAGATTTTTTGTTTATGAGAAGGAGGACATGAGGTTAAAAAAAAAAAAGTTGAGAAATATGGTTATACTCTGTGTGTGAACCTTTTCTACATTAACACCCTAGCAGACCGCTGCCTGACTTACTCTACTGACAGCAAATATACTAATTCTTAAGGTCCTTTATTCCATTGTGAGTCTACCTGTTATAAGATACTGGGTTTCCTTCATGTGTCAACCCTTGAAATATCTGAAAGGAGTCAGAAAATTTTAGTATCTTTTCCTCCAGGCAAAATATCCTTGATTCCTTTATTATCACAAGTTAGGAATCTTGTAGTCATTTTGCGTCCTTCACGCTTTACATCCAGTCACCAAGTCCTATCAGTTTTTCCCTTCAAAATGTCCAACTTATCCATTTCATTCCCAATCTCACTATAACAACTACCTAAGACCAAGCATTCACATCTCTGAGATTACTTTATGTTCCCAGTTGGTCTCCTTTACTCTAATTTCATTACCCAAACTCCAATTCTTTCATGATGGCTCTCAGACTCTTCTTACAAAAGTACAACTTCCATTTTATCTGTCTTTTTCCCAAGAACTTGCATTGTATATGCCTTTTACAAAGGAATTGAAGTATGTACCATAGTCATAACAATGTTCAAACCCTTTCTTGTCATCCAGTAATACAGTAATGTAAGTCCTGGAAACGTATCCCAAGAGAATAATACAACATAAGAAAAATATCTGTATTATAAAGATGCTCAATATACAGTTATCTATACCTACAACAGAAGCTATGGTGGTATAGTGTCTAAGGCATTTGACTGCTAACCAGAAGGCTGGTGGTTCACACACATCAGCCATTCCTTGGAAGGAAGATTGGGCAATCTCCTTCCATAGTGATTGATACTGCCTTGGAAACCCAAGAATGGGTTGCTATGAGTCAGATCTGACTCGATAGCGTGAGTTTGCATTTTTTTTTAAATACCTACAACAGAAACAAATTAGAAATAATAATAAAGAAATGATGAAACAGATTATGGTATGAGATCTATGGACTATAATGCCATTCAGAGCTCTGGCAGCATAGCGCCTAAGGTATTTGACTGCTAACCAGAAGGCTGGTGGTTCAAACCTACCAGCCACTCTGTGGAAGGAAAACTGGGGTAATCTACTTCCATAAAGATTTACCGCTTCGGAAACCCAAAGGCAGTTACTATAAGTCGGAATCAACTCAATAGCAATGAGTTTGGTTTGGTTTATGATGTCATTAAGATATTACAAAGAATAGGACTTCATGAAAATTAAATAAAACTTCAACAACTTAATTTAAAAAAAAAAGGGAAAAAGGAAGGAAAGGGGGCAAATTTCAGACTAGATGGGGATCACATGTTGATTTAGGTGAGGGGCAAGGTGGTATGGAAAGAGTCTTGTGTCCATTATGATGACACTGGGGAAAGGAAGGACACTGAAACATGCACGAAAGATACAGACAACAGAGGCAAATACTAGTACGTGCACAATACTGCATTCCCACTTACACCAAACACCTGGCTATGGATAAATATATAGACATGTAGGAAAATCAGGTGGTGGTAGGTGAATAAGAATATATCCTAGACCAAGGATAGATTTGGCTGAAGGTAATGTTACATATGTACTTGTGTTACAAAATTACATATATTACATATATTACAGAAACAAAAGAAGACAGAGTTAGAGTAGTTTCTCAGAGACAACCACACGCCTTGAGAAAGAGAATCACTGGGCCTGCGGACTCAGGGACATAGTCTCAGGGGACATCATGCTCAATAGGCACAACAGAGTACATAAAAATCTTGTTCTACAACAGTAGTTTAGTTTAAGTAGGAAAAAAGTCTGCCTTGGAGGTATGGTGGCATAGTGCCTAAGGCATCTGACTGCTAACCAGAAGATCAGAGGTTCAAACCCATGCTCCACAGAAGGAATATTTACCACCTTGGGAATCCAAAGGGGGTCGCTATAAGTCAGAATTGACTCAATGGCAGT